TGTGTAACTTTTGGCCACTAGGGGCACCAGACCTGTAACTGCCCGTATTTTGCTTCTACTAAAGATCGAAAATAATAAAAAAGATTATGACTTTAGACTACGAGCAAACTGTTAACTTACCCGTCTAAAAATAAAGTTGAAAAAAGAGAATTGGTTTTACATCAGCCTGCCCCAACGTACAAACTCCCTTCCAAGATCTACTCTCGTTTTTCCTCGCACACGATCCCTTTCACGCTTTCTCTTTAAAGCTTCCTTAGAAGGTTTAAATTTCTCCTTGCCTCAGGGATGAGCAGTAGTCGAGAAGGTGCAAAAATACTGGAGCAAAAGTCTTAGCTCCATGACTATATAAGAGCCTGTGACCGTAAAACGGTACATTCTTCCAGGTCACATGACCTGGCTAATGACTGTGCGTCTTCTCCCAATGGTATTTCAAGAGGAGAGACCCACTCGTAGCATTGATAGTGTCTAGCACTGTATTGGCCTGAGGCATCATTTAAAATAACTCATATGTGTCAATTATTTAGGTCACAAACTCCACAGTGTGCCTTCAATAACTAAAAAACATATATAAGCACTAAATCTATTACTTTGTGCAAAAATATTGAGCGAGTCCTCATTTCTTTATATATGGTTTTCTTGTGTTGATGAGTCGATGAAATCAGCTGGTTTTCCTTAGATAGAAAACTCTGAATCAGTCTGAGTGTATGATCTGGTTGAATTGTCTCAGCAAAGTGCCTTGAGATGACATGTGTTGTGGATTGGCGCTATATAAATAAACTGAATTGTATTGTGATCCTCTCAAGTTACCTCAAATAACTCCCACTTTTCTGAAGGCCTTAAAGCATTCTCATCCTACTCATTTTCTGAGAGATATTTTGTTGTTATTGTTTGTTTGCTTGGTATTCAGGTCAGTAAAAACTATTACTATCTAACCCTCAATAACATCTAATTAGTCTTTATTTACATAAAATTTAAAAATAACAATGATAATCTGTATTTTGTAAATTTACATTCCAAATAAAATGTTTATTTAACCTATCACATTTAAGAAACTGCGCGCACCAGAGGAGCAATCTGGGGCTGAAGGATTTGCTCAGGAGCCTGAGTGGCAGTCTATGGGGTACATTAAAAATAATGTATTGTTCCCAAAGCTTTGTTGTAACTGATATTATAGATGTTTCATTAAAGTATTTGTTAATACTGAAGGCTGTAGACAGAAAGAATCTCATGTAGTGCTCTGTCTTGCAGTGGATCCAGAAAAGCCTCTGACTGCTGACACTACTAGTAAAGGGCAGTTGGATGAAGGAGAGAGTATTGAAGAATACTTGAAGTGCTTGCAGCCGTGTTTGGATAGCAAACACTCTGCTCTAAGCAATAGGCCAACCCCGACTTTTTTTAAAATAATCTTTATTCTGAAAAAAATAAACAGTTGGAAAACTGACATTTGAATCAATAGTAGGCTAGAGAGTACAGCACGGTCTTTAAGCAGTGAAAAAATAACTACTCTCAAAAATTTCATAGCCTTTTCGTAACAACAGATGTAGGATGTGGTGAACTGTCATTGATCTTCCTCTGTGAAACTTATAATGAATATAGAACATGCAGGGTGCTTCCCATCAAAGTATATGATATGGAAGTAAAGTAATGTAAAAATGAATAAATACTTTAATAAATTTAATGAACTCTGTTTTATGGATTTTTACAAAGACCGTGTCTCTCAACAGAAATGCCGTACATGTCCTTTCTAAGTATGGTTCCATACATGAAGGTCTTTGGGGATTTATTGTCCCTCGCCTACATTTCATGTTTAAATAGTTAAAAGCCTCTGTGTGAATAATCAGCATATGCAAACATGATGCTAACAGAGGTTCATAGAACATACAATCTGCATTGGTTTTGGCACAAGTTAGACAAATCCTTAGCTTCTGCCTCTGGGTTCATATAATCATAATCTGTACTAAATAAAGATGCTATGACAGTTAGCTATACTACATATATTATATTAAATACTTGTATTTTTCAAGGAGACCCCGCTTTGAACATTCTGAACTCCCCTTTTGCTCTGATCTACAATCATAAAGTCATTTAAACTGTTTTTACTGTTTTAATCTAGATTTGTGTGNACTTTGTGCAAAAATATTGAGCGAGTCCTCATTTCTTTATATATGGTTTTCTTGTGTTGATGAGTCGATGAAATCAGCTGGTTTTCCTTAGATAGAAAACTCTGAATCAGTCTGAGTGTATGATCTGGTTGAATTGTCTCAGCAAAGTGCCTTGAGATGACATGTGTTGTGGATTGGCGCTATATAAATAAACTGAATTGTATTGTGATCCTCTCAAGTTACCTCAAATAACTCCCACTTTTCTGAAGGCCTTAAAGCATTCTCATCCTACTCATTTTCTGAGAGATATTTTGTTGTTATTGTTTGTTTGCTTGGTATTCAGGTCAGTAAAAACTATTACTATCTAACCCTCAATAACATCTAATTAGTCTTTATTTACATAAAATTTAAAAATAACAATGATAATCTGTATTTTGTAAATTTACATTCCAAATAAAATGTTTATTTAACCTATCACATTTAAGAAACTGCGCGCACCAGAGGAGCAATCTGGGGCTGAAGGATTTGCTCAGGAGCCTGAGTGGCAGTCTATGGGGTACATTAAAAATAATGTATTGTTCCCAAAGCTTTGTTGTAACTGATATTATAGATGTTTCATTAAAGTATTTGTTAATACTGAAGGCTGTAGACAGAAAGAATCTCATGTAGTGCTCTGTCTTGCAGTGGATCCAGAAAAGCCTCTGACTGCTGACACTACTAGTAAAGGGCAGTTGGATGAAGGAGAGAGTATTGAAGAATACTTGAAGTGCTTGCAGCCGTGTTTGGATAGCAAACACTCTGCTCTAAGCAATAGGCCAACCCCGACTTTTTTTAAAATAATCTTTATTCTGAAAAAAATAAACAGTTGGAAAACTGACATTTGAATCAATAGTAGGCTAGAGAGTACAGCACGGTCTTTAAGCAGTGAAAAAATAACTACTCTCAAAAATTTCATAGCCTTTTCGTAACAACAGATGTAGGATGTGGTGAACTGTCATTGATCTTCCTCTGTGAAACTTATAATGAATATAGAACATGCAGGGTGCTTCCCATCAAAGTATATGATATGGAAGTAAAGTAATGTAAAAATGAATAAATTCTTTTAAATTTAATGAACTCTGTTTTATGGATTTTTACAAAGACCGTGTCTCTCAACAGAAATGCCGTACATGTCCTTTCTAAGTATGGTTCCATACATGAAGGTCTTTGGGGATTTATTGTCCCTCGCCTACATTTCATGTTTAAATAGTTAAAAGCCTCTGTGTGAATAATCAGCATATGCAAACATGATGCTAACAGAGGTTCATAGAACATACAATCTGCATTGGTTTTGGCACAAGTTAGACAAATCCTTAGCTTCTGCCTCTGGGTTCATATAATCATAATCTGTACTAAATAAAGATGCTATGACAGTTAGCTATACTACATATATTATATTAAATACTTGTATTTTTCAAGGAGACCCCACTTTGAACATTCTGAACTCCCCTTTTGCTCTGATCTACAATCATAAAGTCATTTAAACTGTTTTTACTGTTTTAATCTAGATTTGTGTGTACTTTATAACAAGTGCTCCTGCACAAGGATAGTAACAACAAACATTGATTTTATTAAATCCACAAACTATACCAATGATAACATAGTTTGGAAAGCATAAAAGAGCACTTTAGCATCAACATTATGTTTCTAAAAAGCCATTAGCTTAAAACTTGGCACAAGGTAGATGACCATCCCTCAAACTCTGCATCATCTTTTTGCTGGGTTTCATCCAACTTACAGAAATGTAACTTTAAGATATTTTGTCATTTGCTGCAGATAGTTTTTTGTGCTTGATTTTTTTCTTTTATCTTTTTCACATACCTAATTCTTAAAACAGACACTGTGCACATAAATGGACAGAAAACAAGGTCCAATGGGGTTTGTTAGAAGTGAACAGCTTGCAAATAAAGAAGATTCAGTCCCCAATAGACACAGCTTTCTCATGCCACATATTGATTAGCCCCTCTGCAAGGCACTTGCATATGCATGAAATGCACGTAATGTTAACATTACTAGAAAAGCACAATATAAGCTTTGTGATAACATTCAGGACACATGGATCACATTAAAAACATTTAAAGCAGAGTTAGATAAAAAAAAAAAAATCACAAATTAAAGACACCTTTTAAAGCATATCTTCATTCTTCACATGAAAACAGGAAAACGACACATCCGCATAGCCATATACCAGTATATGGCTCTGATTTGTGCATTAAAACTGACAGGCCATGCAAGGTGAGTAATGACTGAAGAAGCAGCCAAGATGCCTCAGTTTCTCTCAAAGGGAGCTTAAGACATCCACAGCTTAGGTGGGTGAACCTGTTGACAGGTCAGCTATCAATTGCGCACTTCACATGACTGGTTGTTATGGAGGAGAGGCTAGAGAGTCATTGTTCAAAGAGGTTCCGCTTAAAGTTTGCCACAAACTTAGAGGAGCAACAACAAAATGTGTAAGAAGGTTCTCTGTCTTGGATTTATCGGCACACAAAGAAAATACTGTGTGGCAGAAAACTGCCCAGTGCTTCTTATTTCTAATAAAATACTATTCCTACCATGAAACATCGCTGTAGCATCAGTTTTGCTATGTAAACTTTGCTGCTGTTTTAATTGCAGCAGAAGCTGGTTGCACAGAATATTGACTTGATTGCATCATAAACTGCCTAGCACACGTTACAGTTTTCAGATTTTTATTCATTTAAAAAGTATTTAAAACTTTGTTTTATCTGAATTCATTTACTCTAAAACTGTGCTGTTGTTTTTTTTGGTTTATCAACATGCTTTAGAGGACTTCTTCAAAGAGAATAACCATGGTTTTCATGCTCTCTGCACATTATCTTTTTTTCTTGCATTTTCTTTTAGGAGCACTTCACTCCTGAGTGTAAGTTCAAGGAAAGCGTGTTTGAGAACTACTATGTTACGTACTCGTCCATGCTTTACCGCCAGACCCAATCTGGACGCTCCTGGTATATTGGCATCAACCGGGATGGTCACATCATGAAGGGCAATCGGGTGAAGAAGACCAAAGGAGCCGCACATTTCCTGCCGAAAGTCATAGAAGGTTTGTGTCTTCAATGTTTTTGCCTCTCTCAATTTAAAAACATAACTATCTACATGTGCTTTGAACAAAATCACTTTTTATCACAGTCGCCATGTATAAGGAGCCATCGCTCCATGAGCTTGCCAGCGAACCGGTAAGTCCTCCACGGAAGACAGCGAAGACGTCAGACTCGCCAACGCTCAAAAATGGACGGAAGGAGTCTCCCCAGGCTGATGCCTCATAGCACAGGAGATCGAGGGTGGGACAAAAGAACAGAAGTGACACTGGGATCTCAGTTGCTCCTAATGCACTGAGTGTGGCTGAAAAAACAGCACTCACTGGCCACTATGTTCCATAATTGCATTTCCAGATGCCGGGATAAAAGGACCACAATTTTAAGGCCAAAAAGGCCTGAAAGAGGAGTCTCCACCCTCACCTGAAGTCACAGAACGAGAACCCAGGGTCTGCAATACCACCTCAACTTCCCCATGTGTGTCTCCCTCCCTCACACTGTGTCTCCTGTGACTTCTTAATGCATGGGTTTCTTTATTTTCCCACCAATTCATTATTTTATATTTGCTCTGTTTTACTTAATGTTCAGCCTGCACAAATTTCCCTTCTGACTCAGCAACATAATCCTAACCCATGTTGAGCTCCTTTTGAGCCTCCATGTTGGCGACAGCATGGTTCTTCCTAACCCTGTTCTCCATCAACCGATTGCCCACCAGCTAAACTAATAACAGGGTCTTCTAAAGCTTAAATCAAGATGAAACGGATCAGAGGAAAGCAATAAGTAGGAAGCCTGAGTCAGGTTATCCCAGCAGGCAAAGAGGAGCAAAGCAAGTTTTTTAGATTAAAAGAAATTATCTGTTTGTTTTTTTGTTTTTTTAATTCTTTTAATATAAGATTTTCAATTGATGATGTTTGCCTGTCAAATATAAGGTGATAATATTAGATAATTTATGAGTAAAAATGGTGATATAACAATGCTAAAAGTTAGACGGAAAAAAAACAATAAAAAATGAAAATAAGATCAAACAAAATATAAAAATATAAAATTATATGTAAAATTATGAGGGTACTTTATTCATTTATAATAAAAAATACATTTTTTATAATAATCTTTTTTTTTTACAAAAAATAAGGCATACCCTTCATACTTCCTGATTGCTACCACATGGTCAGTAATTACTGCACAGATCCATCAAAAGCTACAAATGAGCAACCAGGACACAAAGTTAAACCAGGGTGCATCGGAGTTCAGACGTATGGAAAAAGGTGCAGTAATGTATACTTCAGTCAGCATCTGCTGTCAGCATAAAACCGGGTTTGAAGCCCAACATCAAAGCCAGAGAGCCTATGAGCTGGAGCACTTGTTATTCCGAGGACGTCTGGCAGCTAATCCACTCCCTCGCGTTATAAAATCACCTTGGAAGAATTGCCCCTCCTCTCCAAAACAAAAAAAGAAAGAAAAAAATGGAGTGGTCTAAAGAAATGTCTCGGCGTGACAATGTTTTAACCCCATTGAGTGGGTGTGTGCAGATGGACCATAAGGTTTTTTTGTGCCTGTGTGTGACTGAGAGCCTGAGCATGCGATAGACGGTGCAAACGTGGGTAACATCCTCTGTGTCCTTCACACCCAGCTCACCATTGTGTCTTTGATACATCGGCTCCTGTGAGTAAGTGATACTCCATCCGTCTTGTGAACCATTCACAGTGACTCTCATCTCATGTAGGTTTGATAATAGTATGATTTCATGGCCACCGTTTAGGGATTATGTTTCAGACGGAAAAATTGGAAAAAGGGTTAGATCATCATTGGCATATGCTTTTATTGTTCTCTCTGCTAAAATCCATGATGGAATGGCAATGCCAGCATAATGTTCTCATGACAAACCTTTGCTTTGTCTGGCAAACAGCGGTAGATCTTAAGGGCAAGTAAAAAATATATTTTTTTGTGAGTCTAAGTCAAGTGGTAACATAATTCGAGGAAGGGTCCTAGAATGTGATTTTGGGAGTTAATGAATGTACACTAATGAAAGTGAAAGCAAGTCAGAAATAAAGAATGAAACTGTGAAAGAGGTTAAGTCACATGGAGGTGGTTAGTTAGGAAGAGTGAAAGATTAGCAGGTGTGTTCTTGGAAAGTGTCGATAAGGATTTTTAAGCAGCAAAGGAAACAGGATGGGTTCAGCTGTGTGGTATGCAGCATGTTGATATGGTAATGAATGAGAGACAAAGCGGCAACTTGAGGCACTGTATTCAGTATATGACAGTGGGAAAGAAGAGAATCAGTTGGACAGCTTTGCTCAACCAGCCCCAGCTTACTGAGTCTTTGAATTTTGGGGGAGTTTCTGCAAGAGGAAAATCCCTCAGTTTCTTTAAAAATATTCATTCATGTGGGAGATACAGTATCATAGACCTTTGGTTCTCTATTTGTTTCGTCTCCCAGGGAAATTCAGCATACTCATTTTCATTTCTATCATTAACCACAGTATAATTTTAAACCAACTGTGCAGCAGTTAGCTCTCAACTGCGCATTTATAAGATGCCCGTAAGCCTTAGATGTGGAAGTATTTGAATCCACAAAGCAGTGACACCAAAATGTTACTCTAAGTCTACTTAAAATGTATTCAGCTATGATAATTATTTAAAAGGGCGAGGTGGGGGTGGTCATTCAAGAAGAAACGAGCATCGAGCTAAGTTTAATCTGCTCTCTTAAGGTTAACTCTTCAGTTTATTCAGGATTTTGTGAAAGGATGATTAAACAGATTGGAGCAATGTCTTATATAATATACCTTTAAATAACTTCCAGGCCAAGAGTTTTGATGCGTAGCTGCAAGGGTAACAGTCACTTTGCTCTCTTCATCAATTGGTTTCAAATCAAACTTTCTGGCGCATGTCAAAAATTTGGCCATTTGTAACCACTGGAAGTATGTTTAGTACTCGGTGGCCCACTGAATATCTATAGAGATTTTATTTTCTATATTACTAGTTAACTGTGCAGATATATGGTTATATGACATAAATAATCTTTATTTTTTTGTTTTTGGGGGGAGTTTAGATGGCACTTGTGGCTTGTTTTTTCAACAGTAGGTTTGAGAGAGGGGGAGAGACATGAGGCAAAGGACCACAGGTTGGATTTGAACCCTGGTCGGCCACGTTGAGGACTATGGTCTCCGTACATGGGTACATGGATAATTTACCTTGATTCGGTTTAATGTAACTAGGCATGTTAAATTATTATTATGTTGCTAGAATTTGTCATTCATATTTAATGATACCAAATTTTATTATTAATAAAAGGTTTAAGGTGATTTCAAAGCCAAACCTTTATTTTGTCTAAATACTTTAATTTGTCGACATTAGTACAAAATCAAGTGAAAAGACAGTACATAATTGTGCAAGTGTATATCAATAAACAAAGGAAAAAGACAGGAAAATGACTCTTTTTCTACTCAGTAATAGGCTAACTTTGGCAGTCTTGTTGGATTTTGGGAACAAAGTTTGATAAAAACATACTAACAAACAACACTTTCTTGAAGCCTGAAAATTTAGAACACCATGTAGAAATTATAAATAGTATTTGCTTTTTAGTGCTTGAATATCTGCCCCACCTCACATACTGTCTGTGCCAACAGCACATGTGCAGTGAAAAAGAAAACCTGCCTCAATGGTGGCACCTTACAGAACAAAGAATTTGTATCATTCAAAAATAATGAGTTTGGAGTTTCCTGATTCCTACAGTTAGACAGTTTTTAAATTAGAGAACATAATACCCACATTTTCCATAATGCTTGTATGAAACATTTTTCCCCTTTTTAAATTCTTTTAAATCAGCACATTACCACCTCCTATTGGGGAGAAAAAATTGCAAACATTTGAATAGAGCTATTGGGGGCAGCTGATCTGAAAGCTGGTTAATCAAACTGTGAGGAGGAACTTGAACCTCAGTCGGCCTCGGCAGATGGCCGCTCATACTGAGCCTGGTTCTGCTGGAGGTTTCTTCCTGTTAAAAGGGAGTTTTTCCTCTCCACTGTCACTACAAGCATGCTTAGTGGCAGGGATTGCCTTCAAGTCAATGCAATCAACTGTTTTTTTCTTAAATAGAAAACTGTGAATCAATTTGACTGTATGATCTTGTTGAACTGTAAAGGGCTTGGGATGACTTGTTGTGAATTGGCACTATATAAATAAACTAAATTGAATTGAACTGATTCTAAGCTGGGCAATTGGAAGGAATGTTGCAGTAGGTTGCTTGTTGGGGATTATGCAAGTAAGCAAGATGGAACAAAGAATGTTAGGAAGTAGAAAAGAAAGGCACTGAGTATAAGACTAGAAGATTATTGTAGGTTTAGAATGGAAAATCTTGATTGGATACCTTTGTATGTGATCATTTGTAAAGGTTTGAGAGATCTGATTGTGTTTTACAAGCGAAAATACATTAACTGGACAAAAGCTAACAGTGAGGTGATAACAAGGAAAACAAAAACAGGTTAGTTTGTGTGCCCACACATGAGCTTTTCATCTCCCGAACAGCAGCATCTACACCCCATTAACTCTCTCTTCAACATTATGTTGGCTGTGGAGGCGTATACTTACAGCGTCTTTATAAAGCTCTGTGTGGTTGCATGCTTATGTGCGTCAATGAGTAATAGGAGGGCAAACAAAAAGACGAGGGAAAAGAGTGACAGTCATCAACAGACTTAATAAAGAAAAATAATAATAAACTCCAACTCAAAAAAAAAGAGAGAAATGTATGTTGCAAATAGAAAGGGATAGAAACAAAGTTATATTTTACTGCATTTAAATACTTCTTGTTTATATTTTAGATTCAACTCATCATCTTAAAAGACTCCTTCAAATTTACTTTATTACAATACTGTAGGAAAAACAGATATTATTGAACACCATACAGCATTGATTTATCATAAGTGTTTATCCAAAGCTATATTGCACTGAAAATCTATAAACATCCAGGGAACATTCTGGAAAACAGACAGGTACTTAATTTGAAGTTCATTGTAAACACCAGCCAGACATCCTTATCACATAATAATGCATCAGAATACTCTGATGCACTTGGTGCACATACTTAAACTGGCCTGAGCTATGCATGTTATTTGTGTTCTTTTACTGAAAAAATTCGTACTCTTCTTTTTAAGCTGTTGGATGAATTGTCCAAAATGAACGAATGGACTGAATTGGAAAGCAGATATGATTAAACAGCCTTACATCCCTTACATGGCCCCATATATAGTTTTATTGTATTTTTACAAGAACTTCTGTCTTATTTTTAATCTAGAATCCTCAAGTTAGCCAGTGTGTAAAAGTATGTATGAGTAGCTCCCTCTGTTGGTCGGAAATGGCTGTAAGTAACAAAAAAGGCCACACTAGTTTTACATTTCGAGTGTTGAGAAAAATGTAATCAGAATTTCACACAATCCGAGCAAACATGATTGCGTAACATAATAGCAGCTTCTATGATGTTTTGTGTTCAGAAACTTGTCCTGCAGCTTCCCTGTGGATTTAAACCTGTTTTATGAATCCACTTTATATTACCTTAAAAAAATACTAACGCAAGATTGCAGTTGCAACTAAAGTAGTTATTTACTAAAGCACCAAAGAAACATTTCTGAAATTAAAGAAAGAACTTAATACAACATCAAATAAAGTTCAGCAAAAATTGAGCATTTTAAGGTAACTAAAAGACCTAAATATAAAACAAATCAAACTGGGAATATTCAAGACAAATTGTTCCAGGGTTGCTTCTGATTGTTCTTGTAAGTGTACTTAGGAACTCTCACAATGTGTGGAATCTTTGTTTGCGATAACAATTTCCTTCTAGGCAACAATACCTGTTATAGTGTCTGAAATGAATGGAATGCTGCTTATTCTGTCACTAATACAGTATTCATGGGCTACCTTTTCACTGTCTTCTCTAATTCTGTGAAATGAGCTTATCTGTGTTGTTATTTTATTCTGTTAAAAGGTTATATTTGTTAGAAAAGCCTTTTTCAGTGGGGTGTTTTTTATCATTTAATTTTTTTTTTTTTAAGTGTCAGCACTGTTGTATCCAGAATTGTATGAAATCCTAAGAGAAATTCAATCAGAATGAATTCAGCTGTGTAGAAAAGATGTGTGTAAAATCTGCCTCTGGGTGTTTGTCCAAATGCACCCATTTACCCCACAACTCTCTCAACCCCAAACAAACTATTACAGACTTTGAACTTGTTTCCTGCTTCCTTAGACCAATCATACTGTCTTC